CCCTGTCTCTCTCTGTCTCCCTCCCTCCCTCTCTGTCTCTCTCTGTCTCTCTCCACCCTCCCTCCTTCCCTCCCTCTCTCTCTCTGTGTCTCTCCCACCCTCCCTCCCTCTCCCTCCCTCCGTCTGTCTTCCTCCCTCCCTCCCTGATCACTAAGGCAGTGACAGAGGCAGCCTGCCTGAGTCAGTGACTCAGAGGATCCCCCTTCCCCTTCCGAGCATGCAGAAACCTGTCTCACCCACCCAAACAGAGAGGGGCCGCGATGAACCCTAGCTGCTCGCTTGGAGTCATCAATTATTCTTCGTTTGTGTGGCCATGTGAGGATAATAAGCCACCACCATATGGGGCGGCTCTGGGAGGCTGGCGGTGCGAGCAGACCCAGACACGGCCACGTGAGCCAGGCTGCGGTGAATGGAGTTCATTTTCGTGATTTTGTGATGTTTGTTTCGAAAGTTTCCGACGTGGAAATCTCGCTCCTGGTTCTGCTCTGCTGCCAGCCCACTAGGGTGCCCTTGGGCGTCACCCGTCCCTTTCAGGCCTCCGTGTGCTTGTCTCTGCAATGGGTGGATGGCACCCTTGAGGCCGCTCCGAGCACGGGTCGTGGGGGGTGCTCACTTGTCACCCTAGGTGCCTGGCCCACTCGGGGCTCTTGCAAGCATGGCTGTCTGGGTGGCCCTGCAGAGGAGTGGGTCCAGGTGACCAGGCCCCAGGCGGCACGTGGTGGAGGCACGGGCTTTCCCTCCCTGAAGGCGGGGACAAGGTGGCCTTGGGAGAGCTTGCTGGGAACTGGGAGGCAGTTCTGCCCGATCCCTGAATCCAGGATCTCGTGTCTCTGAGATGCAAAAGCTGCGGCGTGGGGTCTGCGGGGCTGGGGGCCTGGCCTCCTGGACCCCGTCACTGCCCTCCTGTCCTCTCCTTACACAGGCTTCCTGGACTGGGTCCCCAAGAAGATGCAGCGGGTGGGCTGCGTGGAGCTGCTCAACACGGTGCAGAGGCGCGTCCAGCCGCGGCTGCATGTCTTTGGCCACATCCACGAAGGTCGGCGTGGGGGGTGGGGAAGGGACTCCTCGCGGGCCCTGTAGAGGGGCCCCCTCACCTCCCTTCAAGCCAGTCACCTCCTCCCTGCTCTCAGCCCCTTCCTGACATTCGCTCTGTAAATGCTTTATTCGCACTTGGCCATCAGTTAGCCACTGCTGAAATGTTTAACGATGGGAAGACAGTTGCAAAATCTAGCAAGACTTAGGGGGAAGTTTTACTTCCTTGGAGTGCTGCGACCTTGCCATGCCTCCAGCCTGGGAAGTCTTTGGGATGTGGGCAGGGGGCTTTCTGGAGGAGGGGACATTGGGTGGAACATGGAGGATGTGTTAGGTTGGGTAGGCACACTGTGAGCTCCTTAAGGCTGGCAGCCCGGTCTTGTCGCCTACATCCCTACAGCCTGGCATACAGTCGGTGCTTAATAAATGTGGAGGGCCACTTGCTTGCCTGAGACATTCTGATGGCACCTCACGTCCACCCCCACCACACGCACAACAGACCTGGCATTCTGGCTCTGTTCCTGGGGAGCTGGGGCCACTTGCTGTGTCCACACAGTTTGAATGGTAGGGGGCGTTTACTTCCCCTTGGGGGGCAGTGGGCAAGGCGGCCGTGATGGTGCTGGGTGGTGTCAGCTGCAATCCTGGCTCCCCGCAGCTCCACGTCCTGCACACAAGGCTTTCCTTATTAGACCTTGGGTTTCCTCACTGGAGCTTCATTCATCAGTCTGGCAGACCCCTCTTTTGCTCCTTTTGAACCTTCATCCCACCTGCCCCTGGCCTCCCCGTCCCATCCCACTCTACCAGAAAGCACATGGGCTCCCATGGGCCATGGGGACTGATGTGTTTTCCCCCAGCTTCTTGAACCTCCGTCTGTGTTAGGCCAGGGCCCCTGGGCCTCACATATGCTTGGTCCACATCAGGTCATTTTCTAACTCAGAAGCAAACAAGTCTCAGCCCTTTCCCTGAGGGCCACTGCCGGGGGTTGTCGGAGGGCAGGAGGGATCAGATCTCCCCTGGCCCCAAGGAGATCACAGAGGGGCAGCAGATAGGCAATCAAAGGCAGAATCTGAGAAGTCATGGGATGGACAACCCATGTGCTGTGGGATAGCAATATGGCTGTCATTTTCTGTAGCCCAACTATGGGCATGGAATGCCATCAGATCCCAGGTGGTGTGTGATCCAAACCACATTCCTACACAATTGCATTTGGGGGATCCAAAGAATGGGTAACTTACAAGAGGAGGGGAAATGTCCTTTCTGGCTTGGAGGTGATCTGAGCTGAAGGATGAGGACTGTAACAAGTAGACATGGCGGGAAAAGAGTAAAATAGCAGCAGAGGCTAAGAGAAGAAAGTACATGATGATGGTGATGATGGTCACTGAAGATATCTCACTGTGTGCTCTCCATGTGCTTCCCAGGCACTCGGGTGAACACTGTATGTGGATTAGTATCTCATTTGCTCCTCACAGCAGCCTGGGAAGGAGCTCTGTCATCATCACCTCTATAGATGAAGAGGCTAAGTTGAGGGTTTTGGTAGCTTGCCCCGGATGTGTTCCACCTGCTGTAGCCGAGTGCTCTACTAACACGCCCGCTAGACCACCTCACTGCCCTGGGTCCCGGCCTTACCCCTCATCCCTGACGGCTGTGTGCTTACTTTCCAGGGTACGGTGTCATGGCGGATGGGACGACCACCTATGTGAACGCGTCTGTGTGCACCGTGAACTACCAGCCTGTGAATCCGCCCATAGTCATTGACCTCCCCACACCCCGGAACTCCTGACTGCCCCTGCTGTCTCAGCCCTTCCTGCCCACATCAGCTCCATATGCCTGGCCAAGAGCACGGACCCCCAACCACCCTTCCTTCCATGCAGACAACCCGTCTGGCCGTGGGGAGCAGCCCAGCAGATGGGTTGAGGCTTTGGAATGAAGAAAATCTCCCCTGACTCTTCAACCTCCGTCACCTGGAGTCAGGACCCTGTGGGTCCCTGTTAGGGGTTCTGTGCTCATTACTGTTTTCTGCGTGTACATTTCCGCGTGTACCTTGTCAAAGGACCTAACAAGTTTGCGGTCCTGTCCTGCTTGGGAATTGACAGACTCTTCATCCTTCTCAGTTGGACGCCCTTGTGGGTTTGGGAAGCCGCGGCTCCTGGACACCCTTTGGAAGTTCTCACACAAAATCTCCCTCTAACTGAGGGTCTGTGTGGCTGCAAGCCCCAGGGTTGGGGGTGGGTGGGATGTTTTAGAGCCCAGGTGCAAGTAGCCCGCCATCTCCCCCCGGGGTTGGGGAGACAGGGCTGCTTCACAGCTGAGGCCCTCGAGGGAGCAATCAGGGACGTCTCAGGAATTCGGACCGCACCTGGCCAGGCCAACAAGCTGTCTGCCTCGCCTTGTGACCCTGCTTTCTTCCTGTGGGCATGTTGGCCGTCTTGAACAATGGCCTAAGCAACCCGGGTGCTTGCTCAGGGCCTGGATCCGGGAGAGTGGTTCTACAGAACGAGCCATGTGAGTGCCCAGGACCAGCTGGGAGGTTCCTGAGTCACGGATGGCCCCTGTTCCTGCGGGGGCTTCGCAGCTCTGCAGAACTCGGGAGGCTGGAGGGGCTGCAGACCGAGGCCACCCTGCCACGTGGATGCGCCCGTGTGGGAGTGCACGCCCCTACACACACACAACGTCCTTCTTAACTTAATGAAGTGGACCCATGTTTCTCCCTACTGTCCTCCAATGGGGTTCCATCCCTCAGTGCGGTTTCCTGCGCACCATTTGGATTCTGTCTGGTGGGCCCACAGCCGAGGGGGCTGAGTGGTTCCTGGTCCTTGCCAGTCTGTCCCGTTAACGGGAGGGTGGCCCACTGGCAGAGTGGGCCCTGGGCTCTGGCAGCTCCACGCAGGGCGGCTTCTTTTTTTTCTTTAAATTAGGACTTGGGTGGGTGGGGGGGGGCGGTTGGGGCTGAATCCGTGAGGGAGAGAACCAGCAGGGTCTCATCAGAGTGAGGCCAGAGAGGCAGGATCGCCACGTGCAGGGTCAGATTCTATCTTTATTGAAAATTTTGATATTTTGTTCATCATGGATATTTTTCTGAATCGATTTTGATTTTTAAAGACATGGGATTAAATAGCACCCTTTCTCTCTCTTGCCGAGCTTTTTGGTAGCCCCTGAAATCGGGCGCCTGAGGGGAGGGCCTTACTCCCCTCACCTTAGGCCCCGCCCTGGGAGCCAGCACTTAGCACGCCCCTTTGCAGGTACAATCTCCATTCATCGCAGGTTGTCGTGCAAGGTCAGCTCTGTTGGCCCCATTTTAGAGGTGAGGAGATTGAGATCAGAGAGGTGACGTAACTTGCCCGAGGGTGCACTGTTCATAGCGGACAGAAGCAGGACTTGAGCCTTGGTCTCTGGCTCCATGGCCGCTGCTTTGCCGCGGCTCAGAGCTCCGCCCCTCCAAGGCAATGCATGGTGCCAAGGCTCTTCTTTTTTTTTAAGGGTCCTGTTCAGAGCGCCTCTGGTTTGTCTCTCAGAGAGAGCCCTTGGAGTGCTGAGGGATCCTGTTCTCTGAGCCCAGCACCCCGGCATCCCGGGAGACCACGATTCCTTCCCTACTTGCCCCGGGCTCCCCATGGGGCGAGGGGCACCCTGGGCAAGGGGAGCCCGGTGGCAGCAGCGCGGACCGGTGCGGGACTTCGGGAATCTGTTTGGCCAAGTGGTTCCTGGTGGCCGCGGATGTTTACAAGGCCTCGGGAAGCCCAGATGCGTGGCGCGTGGGCGGCGTGGGGTGGAGAAGACACAGGCCCTTTTAGTCACCTCTACCGAATTTCTATGCGGACCAAGAACTATAAACTTAAAAATTTTTTTTTCCTAAGGTACCTTCAGAATATGGTGTATTTTTATGTGGAAAAGAAAAGTTATGAAGGCAGCTGTTACTTTGAAAGAAAATTCATTAAAAGTCCTTGAGGTATGAAAGATGATGGCGTGCTCCTCAATCATTTTGGCATAACTTGATTGTGGCTGTAATTTTTTTTTTTTTTTTTTTGTCAAGCATGTCAGACAATAAAGTCTTTGTAAAAAGAAAGAGATGTCCACGTGACGCCTCTTCCTGTGTATGTCTCTGGATGTCGTGTGAGGCATGTGGGGGAGGAAAGGTGTCCTCCCGGCCCAGTCCTGAGTCCTGGACAGAGTCCAGAGGCCAAAGACCTTCCATGTGGCAGCAGCTGGCACCCTTTTGCTTGCTCCAGCTTCCCCAGGGGTGGGGCAGTCTCAGAAGTGATTGGCATGGGCTATTCTGTGCCCTATGATGTTCAAGTATCCTGACTGCCTGATTCCTCAAAACAGTGTAACTCAAGATGGTCTTAGCTCTGGGCCCTTCCCGGAAGCAGTATGTTCAACCCAGCCCTTATCAAACTAAGGGTCCGAGTGTTGCCCAAGAAAAGCACTGACAGGTATAATGGCTTCAGTCTCAAAGCTGCCTAAGCTGTAAAAGTCCCACCATTTCCTTCCATCCATCCATCCATCATCTACCCATCCATCCATCCGCCCATCCATCCACCCATCATCTACCCATCCGTCCATCCATCCATCATCCACCCATCCATCCACCCATCCACATTCCCATTCATTGATCCATCCACCCACACCACAAACATTTACTGATCACTTCCCATGGGCCTGCCTTGGACTAGGGAGGTGGTGATAGATTAAGAAGGTAGGATTGCTGAGGGATGGATGTGGGGGTGAGGTGAGGGAGAGCCAAGGATGACAATGGATGTTGGCTGCCCGTCATGGAGGGGAGAATGGGAGTTGGAAGAACAGGTTTGAGGAGGGATGCTGAGTTTTATTTGGGACTGGAGCTGGATGTGCACTTGGGATATTCAGGGGAAGGGTCCAGTGGCTGGAAGGATAAATGGACCTGGAGGAGGAGGAGGAGCCTCTCTGAGATCTGCATTTGTGGGTCATAACCAAAGCCATGGGTCTGGAAGAGATGTCCCAGAGGGGTGCATGGAGGGCAGGAGGAGCCGCCTGTGGCAGACTATGGGTGTCAGCCTCTCCATGGCCCTTTCCTGTCCTCAGACTGTCCCACCTGTCACCTGCCCCTCCACCAGGGCCTCGCAGGTGCCTGGGCCTTGGCTCCCCATCAGTGGGCAATGAGGAGGAGCCACTCGACTTGAGGTAGCCTTGGCGGCTGTCCTTGGCCAATGTGAGCCCAAGCAGGCCTCCCGGGCGGGGGCAGGGACCCTCTGGGGCAGCTGCTGCCTCTGGCAGTGCTGTAGGTCCTCCTGTAGTGCATGGGTCCCCACTGAGACTTCAGACACAGCCGCTGCTGAGCCACATGCTCCTCCTGCCCTCAGTGTAGACGGGCTATCTGGGGTTTGGACAAGTGGTGGAGGGGGTCCCACAGCAAAGGTGCCTGGGCACCCAGTGCCTCAGCTCTTGGTGGTTCAGCACTCAGGGCTCATGCACACGTATAGGATGGCATCTCAGATAACCCTCTTCTTGTCCATGAGAGTCTAGTGAGCAAATCCCATGAGCTGTCTCCCCTGCTTAACTTCACTTTCTACGAGAGACCCCTGCCCAACCCCTGGAATAAACTAGTGGAGGTGACAAGCTCTGTGGACAAGGACTTCATCCAGTGCTCTCTCCTAATGCCACCCACAGCTCCCAGCTGGGCCCAAGCCTGCCTGGGGGCCCTCAGTCCCACCCTCCCATGGAAGGCACAGACTATGAAGGTCTCCAAGACATGAAAGTCAGGCTCTGCTGTCTGGAAGCTCGCAGTGTACTTTGGAAGGCTCATCTAATCCCCGAAAAGAAGTGGAACCCTTCAGGTCTTACATGCTTGGGGCATAGAGGGCGACAGAGGGGGCAGGCTTGGGGGCCCTGAGGAAGAGCATGCCCAGTGTACAGGGGAGATTGGGGGAAGCTTCCTGGAGGAAGAAGCGTGGCTGGGCCCTGAACCATAGAACATGATTTTCCTATTAAAAAAAATACCTTTTTGGGGCGCCTGGGTGGCTCAGTCATTAAGCATCTGCCTTCGGCTCAGGTCATGATCCCAGG